TATATATATATATATATATATATATATATTATATATTAGTGGCCTCCATTAAAACACATATCCTCGAGGTGTATTTGTGATAGATTCCGACATCTTAGGATTTAAAATGCGTGTCGCTTGAACACTAACACCACCTTGATTGATTGTGGGTGAATCAAGTTCTAACTTATCAACATTGGTGTTTGTTTGATACCCTTCAATATGTACTTTTAAATTAGTGTATCCTAAATTGATCATAAATTTGTTATAATTAAAATAAATTAATCATGGTCGTTGGATCCAATAGGTTGAGCATCAAATAACTACTTGTCGAAAGTTGATCTTGATCGTTCAGCTTACGTACGGTGGATTGCATTGTAGTAGACTGAAAGCAAAGGTAGCAACTAACTATGTTGAGTTTAAGTATCAAAGTATTATATTAAGTATCAAATGAATATTTAATGCTCCATTTTGATATCTCCCATTGGAGTTGCTCTTAAAACTTTATTTATTTTATGGGGTCATTAGCAATACACCCCTCTTATAGATAAAAACTAGTGATATGTCCATACCATAATTCTTTCTTTGTGAAAACCCTCTAGAATATTTAATTCCATTTTTACCCCTCTAGTAAGTCACGTTTATTTTTTTATATTTATCTAATATTTTCAAATCCCTAATAATTAGGCACCTAATCCTCCTAATTAGGTTTAATTATTTACTTTTCCTAATAAAACTGCTCCTAACTAAAATAAATAAATAAAAAACAACCGCATCGTCTTGAATAACATACAGAGATTTGGTTTTCCCCCAAATCAAAAACCGGCAAAAAAAATCGAAACCCTCTCTTCCAATCTGCAGTCACATTCCAAAATCGAAGATATTTGATACAAAATCGTCCACACACTTTACCCATTAATAGTCGTATTCTGTAGTAGCTGTGTTTCGGTAGTGATAAACCAGTGAAGTTGAGTTGCGTAGTCACATTCGAATCTGGTTTCTGAAATGAAGAAGAAAGCGTCACAGAATACTATATGACTACTATGTGACTACTATGTGATTACTTCTGATGAATAAATCTGCACTACCTGTAAATACAAATCACATGATATCATGTGAATTCAATTCAACCACAACAAACACATTGAAACTTACACTAACATATCAAGTAACGCAAAAAAATAAATTAAAATAAAATTACAATCAATTAACACAAAACGAACAAAAGATTTGCAGAGTAGTCACAACGTGACTCTCAACGTGACTCTGTGTAAAAAGGTATAAAATTTTCAATCAGTAACATTCATTTACACCAATTAAGACGACCCAAAAAAGAAACAATGAAATTTCGGTTCTAAATACACATACACACATATCTGAATACACACACTACAACCCGCCACAATTACGAAACCAACAAATTAAAGCGGAACCTCTGATCTTCAAACACAGTTTAACTCCGGCAACGAACACAGAATGGTTGAATGGCGACGATATCTCTATTCTCACCTAATCTCGACTGAAATCACGCCTGTATATCAAGGAGAATTACATCCGCCTATAATAAAGGGAAACGGTTATGGAAAGATATCGTGATTAAATATTTGATTTATTATAAAAAACTGTTAATAAGGGTACTTATGTCTTATTATGTTTAATTGAGGGGGTTTCACTAATTAAGTTTGGGATGTGGGTTTTTGCAAAAGTCTTAAAAGTCAATTGGGTTTTACTCATAATATTTTCCATTTGAGGGGGATTGCATATTTCCCCTTATTTTATTTATATATCATTGAAGTTATTCCATTTGTTGGACTAATGAATAAGGCTAAAGGAATCCAAAACAAGGTCATATCTCATATCACAACTCTCCAAACTCATAATGCAATGCATCTAACTAATAATCATTGGTAATTAGGTAACACCCTAATTTATTATTCCTTTTGTTTATTTATTTTATATATATTTTTGTTTTATGGACTAAATTACTTGTGTTATTGCAATATGCCACCTCGTGTGCTTGGTCCACTTGTCTCAATTTCCATTAATTGTGAATCACTAATGGTGGCCACATGGCATAAAGAGAAAAAAAAAGTGTAACTTGTTTGGAGGGAACCCATAATTTGAATGATTAAGGGTAGCATCCTCATCCCCATAATATACCATTTTCTTTTTGCAAGAATTTTTATTGATGCAATTCCTTTATTTCAATCAATAGATATATTCTCATTTTTCATCAATAGACATACAATTGATTACTCATTTGCTTTTTGGAAAGGGTAAATTACACACTCCTGAGGTATGTTTAAATAACTTTAAGGTTTATGTGGTTTCGATAATTACACTCACCCCCTGAAATATAGTTAGAAACTCTAGTGGTGTAATGCATTTTATCCCAATAAAGTTCTAATGGACTATCACTTTTAGCTAGTGGTGGAAACAACATAGAGTTAGGGGGTGACATGGTTCCCCCAATAATTCTTAAATCACCCATAGCTATTTGTTGTATCCATCATTTCTTGAAACTAATAGTTCGTTAAAACTCTATCGGAATAACATATCTAATGTACTATCCCATTAGAGTTTATTACTATGTTTCAGGGGGCGAGTGTAATTATTAATACTATAGGATTTTTAAAGTTATTATAGCATACCTCAGGGAAGTGGATGTAATTTACCCTTATAGATATATAAACCCTAATTGGCAATAATTTGATTTATAATTGTGTTTATGAACTTGAATCCTTTTTATCATTTGTCTTGTTTGCTAATGGAAATAGTTTTTTTTCTTTTTCACTAATTACTTTCATCCCAACTCCCATAAAGAAGAAAGTGAAAAGGTGATTATGAAGGTTACCTAAATGAATATAATAGAGAGACATAAAAAAAGTTCTTATCTTGTTTCTGAAAAAAATCGGTTTTGATTGCTGATTTGGTGGTAGTTATTTGGAATTTGGGATTAGACGGTACTTTATATGCCACATCCAGCAAATGCTACATCAGATAGCACGTCCATGTGGATGTGTGGGTGTGTTTGTGTACTTATATATAATGAAGATTTACCCGATATATTTCACCCGACGTAGCATAGTATATAAAAAGAGTTAGACAAAGCAAAGTAGTATGAAATTTCTTGCTATGAAAGGGAACTATTTGATGCAACTTTATTTGCAACTTGTACACAATCATCACATCATCTTTCACTATGTGAAAAAAGAGGGCATAAGAGATTAGTAGTACTACTTTTTTTTTCCAAATATTATGTGAAAGTAACACAAAGGCTTCTCATAAAATCAAATACCCCACACCATCAAAGTGTAGAGCAAAAGAATTCCAAAATATTGTTAAATTAATGTGTACTTCTTATTGTGCCATCATTTGAACTGCATTTTCTTTAGACATTTCCTTTTCACTTTATTTAAAGTGAGTTAGGATTCAATGACACCTTCACCTCTCTATCTATGAATGATTGATGGTAGGCCAAAAAAAAAAAAAAAAACTAATTTCAATTACATTTTTAAAAAATGTAGAAAATTCGGAATGACAAAATATGTTCCGAAACCGTGATTTTTTTATTTATCGGAATTTGAATTTCTGATTTTTATTCACCTTATAACATTAAATGAATATTAAAAATTTTGATGTTATAATGCATTTTTTGAAGAAAAACATAATATATTTTTTTATTTGGAATTATTTCCATAAATTAAAATTGAATAGTAAGTCAATATATGTTATTTATTTTTGCGAGAGATGGTTAGTGCCTAGTGGGAGGAAATTACTTTTTTATTTTTTAAGAACTTCATGTAACAAGCATGATTAGTCGCATTAATATCACTTGACTAATTAAATGATTATGGTACAGTTTATTTAATTAAATAATTGTATTTAATTATTGCTCAACAAAATTATTTATCTTTAGCTTGTAACCACTAGTGCTAGTGCTACATATAATCGATTAGGTTGAATTGTTAGCTTAAATTATGATTAAAAAAAAGAAGTTATGGGCTCCTAGACCTAGTTAATTAATTTTTTGACTTACTGAAATAGTTTTAATTAAAAAAAAAAAAGAGAGATTATATTGCATGTGAAATTTGAACTATAATGTCAAATTAAGACAGGTCAGACTCACATTACACAAAAATTGTGACATAAATCTAAGTTTCAACTTTTGACCTAAATCATGAGAAAGCAAAATTCAGCACGTGTTGTTTGTGTTCAGATTTCGACCACTAGAGTTACAAAATAATTCGACCTACAATTTCTTTTAAGAAAGTCAACCCTAATATATAGACATTTGACTTCTAATATAAGAAAAAGAAAAGGTGCAACAATTTGTAATGCATATATATATATATATATATATATATAAAATAAATTGAAAAATTAAAGTGACTCTAAAATCTCTGCAAAAGTGGGAAATAAGAGAATGAAAAAGCTGAGGAACTACGAATATAATTGGTTGGTGGTGTGTTTTAGTTTTTTTGGGAATTAGTTACTAGAAAAAGTAAAAAAATAAATAAATTATTGTGTAATGAGTTTAACCTCATAGTTTACTACTAATGCAGGTTTTTGTAATATTAAGCAATGTAAATTAATTTATAGTTGGTCAAGGGTAAGATTGTAATTTCAAAAGTCAACGGTCAAGATGATTAATTGTAGGCTAATATTAAAATTTAGAAGAACGAAGTCACATCATGAAATATGAACACTCTTCTTCGGTTATAAATTTGTGGTCAAATACATGTGGGCCCCATTACTAGATTGCTAGTTTTAATTCTACTGCATTTGTATTATTAAAATTAAAATTTGCCACAAAATAATTTCAACGGATTTGAAACATAAATTTAGCAATGTCCCCTAATTAATTGCTTTGGAAAAATAAATAAATAAATAAAAAAGAATTATGGGTTTGTTTAACAAAGAGCAAAATAATTGTAGTAAAGAGAAAGAAATAAAGAAGTATATATATATATATATAAATATATAATATAATTATAAATAAAATGAAATAGTAGAATAATAAAAGTGAAGTTAAAAAATAGCATATCACCAAACAATATAAAAACACCTAACCAAAATCAGTCCCATCCCGAAACCGCAATGGACATCGAATCCAACCCACCGCCGCCGCCGCCGTCATCCGCCACGCAGTCCCCAATCAACCGCCTGAACTCCTACGTGGCGAAAAGCCGGGTCGGGAAACGCTTCAAGGTCAGCGAACGCAACACCACCTTCACCACCGAGCTCCGCGCCGGCACCGCCACGTTCCTCACAATGGCCTACATCCTCGCCGTCAACGCCTCCATTCTATCAGATTCCGGCGGAACCTGCTCCGTCTCCGACTGCATCTCACTCTGCTCCGATCCCACAGTTTCCCCCGCTGACTGCTTGAACCGCCCCAACCTCCGCCTCGTCCCCCCGGACACCTCCTGCAAATTCCAACCGGTCAACCCCGGCTACGCCGCCTGCCTGGAAAAAACCCGAAAAGACCTGATCGTCGCCACCGTCGCCGCCTCCCTCATCGGCTGCTCAATCATGGGGGTTTTGGCGAACCTGCCGCTAGCACTAGCACCGGGTATGGGAACCAACGCGTATTTCGCATACACAGTCGTCGGATTTCACGGATCGGGAAACATCTCTTATCAAAGCGCACTTGCCGCCATTTTCTTGGAAGGTCTAATCTTTCTACTCATCTCCGCCGTCGGCCTCCGCGCCAAGCTCGCCAAATTAGTCCCCAAGCCCGTCAGAATTTCTTCCTCCGCCGGCATCGGATTATTCCTCGCGTTCATCGGATTGCAGAGCAATCAAGGTCTCGGACTCATCGGTTACAGTTCCTCCACCTTAGTCACACTCGGCGGCTGCCCCAGCTCCGCCAGGGCGGCGGTGGCTCCGGTGATGACGTCAGCTAACGGCACACTTATGCTGATCCCCGGCGGCTCTGTTTCCGGCGAAATCCTCTGCTTGCATGGACGGATGGAGAGCGCCACTCTCTGGCTCGGCATAGTAGGGTTTGTTATCATCGCTTACTGCTTGGTGAAAAATGTGAAGGGGGCCATGATTTACGGGATCGTGTTTGTGACGGCGGTTTCCTGGTTCAGAAACACCAAGGTGACGGCGTTTCCGAACACCCCCGCCGGCGACTCCGCGTACGAGTATTTCAAGAAAGTGGTGGATATCCACAAGATCGAGAGCACCGCCGGAGCTCTGAGCTTCAAGAGCATCGGAGAACCCCACTTCTGGGAGGCGCTGGTGACATTCCTATACGTCGACATACTGGACACCACCGGAACCCTGTACTCCATGGCGAGCTTCGCCGGATTCACGGGCGCCGACGGCGACTTCGAGGGGCAGTACTTCGCGTTCATGTCGGACGCGTCGGCGATCGTGGTGGGTTCCCTGCTGGGCACGTCGCCGGTGACGGTGTTCATAGAGTCGTCGACGGGGATAAGGGAGGGGGGGAGGACGGGGTTGACCGCGTTGACCGTGGCGGGGTACTTCATGATGGCGTTCTTCTTCACGCCGCTGCTGGCGTCGATACCGGCGTGGGCGGTGGGGCCGCCGCTGATACTGGTGGGTGTGATGATGATGAAGGCGGTGGTGGAGGTGGAGTGGGGCGATATGCGGCAGGCGATTCCGGCGTTCGTAACCCTGATTCTCATGCCGTTGACTTATTCGATTGCCTATGGTTTGATTGGTGGGATTGGTACTTACATTGTCTTGCATTTGTGGGATTGGGTACATCAATTATTCAATAATAATAATAATAATAATAATAATAATAATAATATTAATAGTGGTGCTAAAGAGGGGGTATAATATTTTATTTTATAAGGGTATTTTTGGTATTTATTTATTTTTTTTAATTTGTTTTATTTGAGTGGTATCAAATGATTATTAGGGGAATAGGGATTATGAAATTCATGATGATGGATTAATAATCCGGGAGGTGTGACAGAATAATCAATATATATATCCCACTATTCAACCACATATGTGTGATGTAGGTAGGAAATATTAAAGGCTATTTAATATTGAATTGGTGGAAACATATTTAATAGAGTTATGGCTCTTTCACATCAACTCCACCCTTTTACTTCGCAGTAAAACTACTGATTATTGATTTATTTTATTTTTGGTTAATTTTTAAAAAATAGAAAAGAAGTAAAAGAAATCCATTTTGGATTGGAGGCCCTACAATAACACTATGACTAGCCCAACAACATTAACGAATCTGGGCTTTTCTATCTAGTTAGAAAGGCTTTTATTGAATTTGTAGGAGAAAATGGTCATCGCTCGTACATTTAGGTGGTGTTTGCAAATGCTTTTTGAAAGTGATTATGCAGTTTTTTTTGCTTATAATCTGTTTTTATGTGTTTGCAAAATCAACTTTTGCTTTTGCTTCTCTTAAAATAATCTGCTTTAAGCTATTTTTTTAAAAACACCCCTAACCCTGCTTTTTCAATTTTAGTTCATTTTCTGAAATATTTGCAAACACCCCCAACTTTTAGAAATAAACACTTAAAACTAACTTAAATCACAATCACTAACTTATGCTTTTAAATAATCATTTGCAAACACCACCTTAAACCTCTACAAATTAATACAATCGGAATTAACAAAATCCTATTACCTTAGTCGAACTAATAACACAGGGATCGGAATAAATTATTATTTGAGCGATGTTATTAATTTAATTTCAACGAACAAGGGACAAAAACTTTGTTACAGTAAATGGCAGTACTATGGTAAATCCTAGTATTTACTAGAACTTTAAAATTGTTCCGTGGTAAAAATACCTTTTATTATGTTTTTTTACCGTAGCAACAAAATTTCATAGTAATAAGCAAAATTTCTACTAGTGAATCTTTGCACTCACGCGATATTTCATAATGAAGTAGAATGAACTGAGTCCCAAGTCTCCTCAGCATGCAGATAGATAGATATATTCTCACTAAGCAAAAAAAAACATTCTGAAGAAAAGCGAAACGAAAAATGGATTAACCATGGCAAGGTATTAGACATACCGATCCTCAGTCGCGCGCGCCGGATTCACAATTAGAAGCCGCCAACTCTATCATCTCTTTCGTCAAAAACCTAGTTCATATTATTATATGAATTAATATGAAGAGTAAAATTATTTATAAAAAAGAAAAAAAAAGAAAAAAAAAATTACTCGTGATATAGAGGGAGGTCAGCAGGAGGGATAAGTCGAACATAGTCGACATAATGATGAACCAAGTTAACATCAGTTTGAAAGATGATGGGATACTCGTGAACTAATCCATCAGCAGGAGGTTCCAGAGGCTTAGCTGTAAAGAACAGAGTTACCATATAACCTGCGAATCCTCGTGCAATTGCGTACAACGGCTCCACAAATTCGTAATCATCCAACTGCACATGCATGCATGGACGACACATTCATTAGTATTAATATCAGTATTTGTCGTCATCAATCAATTAATTAGTTACGTAATTGAAATATACATACATGAGTTCTGTTGTAAATACGCATAGCGAATCGGGCAATTTTTTGGACAAGTTTGAAGGTGTAAGGAACGCTGTCGTCCGGATCTCCGTTAATGTTATAGATGACGGGTAGAGGACGAAGGGTACCTGGCGGCGGCGATGGCGGGTATCTCATTTTTGCTTTCCTATTTTTATCCTTCTTCTTACCCATCAGACGCATAAACTTCCACACCTTCTTTTGCGATTCTATTTTCCGATGCTTCATCTCGCCGCCGCCGCCGCCGCCGGATTCACAACACCCGTCTGCCTCTCTCTCTCTCTCTCTCTCTCTTTCTCTCAAGGAACCCTAATCGTGTTCCCGGTTTAATTTTATAATTTTATTTTATTTTATTTAAGGAAAGATGGTTAAAAGATGTAATTAATGGGCTGGATTTTTGAGAAAAAAGGGTTACTTTTGGATCTCTTAATTCTTGGGATGTCACTTAAATTTCAATTTTTTTTTTTTCGTTTTCTTTTATATTGTCTGTGATTTTTTACGGTTTTAATATATATTTTCTTGTTTTACTTTATTTGTTATACTATAATTATTACTCCCTCCGTCCCAATTTAAATGTTTTTTTTTTGTTGTTTTGCACATATTAAGAAAATCAATAGCTGTGCATAGATTATTGTAAAAGAACATATAAAATTACTAAAATATCCTTGACATTAATTGATTATCAACTAATTAATTAAGAGTGGTTAAGGGTAAAACTGAAAATAATGCAATTAATGTTTTATTGAAAATCTAAAATGACAAATAATATGGGACAGAGGGAGTAACTCTCTTACCGAGTAAGAGCAACTCTAATGCTAAATATCAAAATTGGATTATCAAATGCTCATTTATGATAATATTTTAAAATACATTTCAAACTCATCTACTCCAACCATGGTAATCAAATTTTATTATCAATTGGAATTTTTTTTTATAATTTTATATGTAATTGTCACATGTCAATTTGTGATTGGTTGGTTAGGTGGTTATTTTTTGATAACTCAATTTGCAGGAAGTATTTTTAGATTCAAAGAGGTGAAATATCAAAATACAAACCCATTTTAATAACCCCTTTAGAGAACACAATTTTTAAAATTTAGAAGTCAAATGGTAGGTAAGAGATTTGATAACTCATTTAATAAATCCATTGGAGTTGCTCTAATATAAAAAAAATCAGTTTTTTTTTTTATATGTATTTTCTAAAATCGAGTTACATTTATGGAGATTCTTAATATTGTGCAGAGATATAAAGGGAGGTTACCTCTAATTGCATAAACACACATACCCCTAACTATGGGTGGTAAACGAGCTGAGCCGGCTCGTGAACTCTACGAGTTGGTTCGACAAAGTTCTAACTCGAGTTCGATTATAGTTCTTCGATAGGTTCCCAAGCTTCTTAGTTAATTTTTTTTATATATTATACAATAAAATGATAATAATAATTATTATTATTATATCATTACTTAAAGCTCGAGCTCACAGAAGCTTACGCGAACTCGAGCTCGAACCAAAAAATTTCAATTCGTCGAGCTCGAGTATGCCAAAATAGGCGAGTTCGGCTCGCCTAACTATAGGAATCAAAAATAGAGTACCAAAATGTGAATATTCCTAAATAAAAGGACAAAGGAGTAACAGCCAGTCAGCCACGTTATAAATAAGAAACCTCCAACCAGAGAAAAAATCGAAATATCTCAGAAATTAAAAAAAGAAAAAACTTTTGTGAGAGATTCACACCAGAAAGAAGAAAAAAATGGAAGTTGTCGGCAGCAATTGTCTCCCGTTATTCTCTCCGGCGGTGGTCGCAGTGGCACCACCACTTGGAACGGCTCCTCTGATTTTGTTTTCTTCCCCAAAGCAAAAGAATTTAGCATCTCTGTGTAATTCCATAAAAGCCCCAAAAAAATTCTCGAGTGAAAATTTGGGACAAGGGTTTGCTGTTAGAAGCTCAAAGAGGTCAACGGATGATTACAATTTAGCAATGAAGAAGATGATGAGGAACCCTTACGAATATCATCATGATCTCGGTCTGTTTTTTTACTTTCTTCCTTAATTCCTTTTTCCTTAAACACATTTCATCATCTTAATCAATAGGTTTGTCAAAGTCTTAGCTCTGTTTTGACTAATTAATTATTCATTATGCTTAATTATGTTTAACTGATGAACTCCATGCTAGAAAAGTGGATCCGCCCCTAATCCCAATGTTTATGATTAATTACACGTGCTCTTAATTAATACTTAATGGGGCCCCAGATAATCAACTTTGGAGGTTTATTGAATATTTAATTGTCACAATAATTAATCTTAATTTCTTGTAAAGCAACAGATGTTGATGTATGCTCTAATTATATAAATTGTGCTGCTCTTAGGGATGAACTATACATTGATAACCGAAAATCTGATAGTCGGCTCACAGCCTCAGAAAGCCGAAGATATCGATCATCTAAAAGAGGAACAGAATGTGGGGTATATTCTCAACTTGCAGCAGGATAAAGATGTCGATTATTGGGGAATCGATCTCAAATCAATCGTAAATAGATGCAGAGAACTCGGTATTCATCACATGAGAAGGCCTGTAAGCTAATCTTTTTCAAAGATCAAATGGGGGGTATATATATATATATTTTTCTTACGGAATTAATTAAACTGCTGAAAAATATTCTCAGGCAAAAGATTTCGATCCAGATTCCTTAAGAAGAGGATTACCGAAAGCAGTTTCTTCGTTAGAATGGGCGATTTCAGAGGGCAATGGAAGAGTGTATGTTCACTGCACTGCTGGTTTAGGACGGGCGCCAGCTGTCGCAATTGCTTACATGTTCTGGTTCTGCAATATGGATGTAAGACAATCTCAATCATTATTTATATATAGTAAATATCTCCATATTTTTTTTCTGATCGGCTTGCTCGTTTTTTTTCCTTTGGTGGGGTGGCAGCTCGGTACTGCGTATAGCACACTGACTTCGGTGAGACCGTGTGGGCCCAACAGAAAAGCTATTCGTGGAGCGACCTACGATTTAGCTAAAAACGAGCCTTGGAAGGAGCCTTTTGAAAACTTACCTGAAAATGCTTTCGAGGATATTGCAGGGTGGGAAAGAAGTCTCATCCAGGATCGTGTTCGTGCTCTTCGTGAGACTTCAAGGAATCTCTGATAAGTTCGATGCCTGATCCAATTTCTTTTACGGAGGATGTGAATTTGGATACAAAAAGCACCGATTTCATTGGTGCGACAATAAATTATTAGTTTTATGGTATGCCCTTGTTTCCGAAAGTAGTAAAATTTTATGGTACAAAATCAAGAAAAAATCTACGGAAAAAAAAAGAAAAAAGAAAAAGAAAATGTCATCTTGTTTGAGTTTCGGGTCTTCGAGATGCTTTGAACTTGGCAAGTTGTGTTTGTCGCCGCCCTAAGTGGAATGCAGTTACTATCCACAGGAAACACACCTGATAAACAGAGCAAAGTAAAATGATTTTTTTTCTTTTCTTGGGATGAATAAGTAAGATTAAATATTAATGATAAACGAAAATTTACGTACAGGCAATGCGTAAAGGGAGACGGTTGACGGAGTGACGTCTAAAGCGCTGAAAAGTAGCTTGTACATGCCAGCTGCAGTGGCATCTCCTAGCCTTTGAACAATTACATCTATACATACCTGTTGATTATATTTCACAAGATTCTTACAAAATTTATAGCACCACTAAAAGGAATTTCTTTTAACCTATGGAAATTGCTATACAAGAAGAAGTAGTTAGCATGGTATTTTCAGACCTTTGCTTTGTACTTTTCGTCTTGTGTAACAACGGTGAAAAGCAGCTCTCTTCCAGGTCTGGTAACAACGTACATAACCACCTGAAGTGGTAAAAGGACAAAAAAAAAATCATTCGAGTGTGTAACGAAAAGATTACTCAAATCAACCCTTAAAATATGATGGGAAAAAAGATTTTGTGAGAATGCTGAAAGAAATTGGGTAAAAGGGAAAGGATAAAAACGAGTATGAACCAGCAAACAGAAGTTACCTTACGTAGAGTTTCAGATATGGCAACTGTAATCCATGAGGGCCATACGGCTAAAGCAATTAGATTAAGGAACCCAACAAATGGTGCAGCGCAAATAGCTGTAGTGACCCCAGCTACAGTAAGTATGCGCCCCTGACATAAATATAGATGAGTAGGTAAGTTCGAAGTTGATTAGTTAAACCGGAAACAGTGCATACGTAAACAATAACTAACTACGTGATTTCATAATAATTAAAAACGAAAAAAAGAAGAAGAAAAGCCATTGCAGTCTCAAGAGTTCAGTTTGGTAATGAAAAAAATATCTTAGAGGAGGAAGATATCAAATGTTATTTTTCATTGGATATCTGAAAGAAAACACCAAATAACTATTACCCAGCATAAAAAAATCAATACCGTTAAAGTAAGTTGTCCACCGAGGATAAAAACAGCAATAAAGCTATTGATTTGTGCAAACAATCTTCTTCTACCAACAGGACTTGTAACTGTACTGGCAATAACAGTTACTTTCTGCAGTTGTAGCAAAACAAAAAACATTACAATTCATAAAATAAATTAACAAAAAAAAGCATCTTAGACCGAAATGTAAAGGTAATGAATGATCAACATATTTGAAGCTTGAACATGTTAACTTAATTATGCATTTTTCCAACTAAACTAGTTAGGACACTTACTTTAAGATCGGTTGTAAACATCAATTGTCAATAATTGTTAAAGGTTTCTATGAATACATCTACATCCAACTCTCGTTAATTATCAAGTCTCAACACAACATGCATGGATCATCATTTGATCATCCGTTGAAGACATTTTATAATTAGTGGGCTAAGAAGTACTCTGAGAGAGTCTGCAAAACAAATAATTGAAGTCTAAAAAAGACCAAATGTTTCCATACCTGGAAGTAGAAGAAAGATGATACTACTGCATTTAGCCATAGGAACAGAGCAACTTGTAATAAATAAGACGATGATAATATAAGCTGCAGGCCCTCCAATATAGCCCAGATCTGAGGTTTTTCGGTCGAAGTAGGAGATCTTGGTGAAGATGCTTTTAGACTAGTTCCAAGTAGTCCATTGTTCTCGCTCATGTGATCAGTATCAGATCTTCTACAAGCCAGAGACAACAAAATTGAGCAAAAGCAAAACAGAGACGAGGATATTTTGACTCCAGGTATTGTTTTTCCAATAGAAATACAGTTGTTTACGACAGGTGTATATGAAGAAAACAATATGAATATGACAAGGCATGAATCAGACCTGATGGGAGATAGTTCTTCAGAATGCTCGGGGATGTCCTTGTTAATTCCTCTTGAAGACTGTGCGGCAAATTCCATCAAGATTGCAGCAACAAGAAGCAAATCTATATGAACCAAACTCGAAGTCATAAAACATAAGGCAAGGAGAAAAAGAGAAAGAGATGCAATAAAGAGGAAACATACATGGGCCTAACCAAGCCATCCCTGTGGCAAACAGCGAACCGAAGAGCTGACCCAGTGTAGCACCAGCTCCAATAAATCCGAACAATCTTGAACCTGACTGAATTCAAGAGAGTTATTGTGCACATAATCAAGGCCCTTAGGAAAATATTAAATAGTTGAAGACACTAGCTACTAAGCAGGAAGGTGATCGCACAAACCTCACTATCCATCACGTCAATCACTCTCGCCCATGTCGAGGAGATAGTTATAAGATTAAGCAGAGCAACCTGTACATATTTATAAAAATAAAATAAAAAAAAAAACAAGGCAATTATTAGAGATTACAGCTCAAAAGAAAATCTGAAATTCGTAGAAGTAGAGAAACACGAATTTACCCAAAGGAACATGGCAATCCTCACTGCAATGTAGAACCACCCATGGTTTTCCCACGTAGCAGAATCAGCCGAAATGGTTTGATTAACTGCAACCTTCAGCTCCTCCTTTATAGTGGAGTTTACTGAACTTGTATCCTACATAGACAGAGGGTATAGTTCAGTAAGAAATGTTGTAAAAACCAAATTGTGAAGAATGAGTGTTATGCACTTGCCTTGGCATTGAATGTTGAACTTCCAGGTGTAGAAAAAATCCATAGAGCGAAGAATACGACAAGAGACAAACTAAAAAACCGGTGTATATATACCAAAGCCTGGAGAAGGAGCAATAATTCCAAATGTTAGTAGCAGAACAACTGCTCAATTAGAACAGATTTTATACACATGTATAACAAATGTAACCCTAAATGGGACAAAAACATGACCAAAAATTCCGATAAAATCAAGCTAAAACACAAGCATAATAACATACCGAAAGTAATCCTCACAAACTGGAGAAAAAAAAAATCAAATTACCAAATAATTTCACACCTTTCCTTTGGAAAGATTTGGCAGTGAAAAAATGAGAGTTGAAACGGGGGCGGCGACGAGCGTGAGCAGCAAAGATCCGACGAAAAGCCCAGGGAGATTTCCCAACCCTAATGAAATTGCACCTTCATCCCGCAACGGTAGTACCACGAAATACGCACTCAGAATCTGCACAATGGATACTCGTTAGACGCTAATCAACAACACAAATTTTACCAATTTCAAAAAAAGAGAGGAAAACAGTAGACTTACGAAGAAGAAGGAAGAGGTCGAATAGATCAATGCAGAGGTTTCGTGGGGATAAACTGTAACGAATATTGATATGATTGATTCTATTTGAGATTTATCAATTATCATCGCAATCAAGCGTCGTAATTTCTGTAATCGCTAATGAAATTGGGAAAAATTCGATTGCAGAAAGAAGGGGGAGATGTCAGAATTTCAGTAGCTGCTGCAACAGATGATTCATTTCTCAACCTTGCTCGGAAGGTCAGAGACTGAAAGTTGAAGACGAGAATGGTAAATAGTTATTTGCTTTATGGACCTTCAACTTGTGACTATTTATATTTTTAGCCCCATATGTATAGTTAATTTTGCAAAAAATAAAATTGATTATATAACAATTTAAAAAAAAAAATTCATTACTAATTAAGAATATTCTTCACACATATAAATCAAAATAAATTATATGATCTAATAAATTCATACAAACAAGATAGAGAGAGAAACTCTGTAATTTATTCGTGATAGATCAATTCAGAAACGCGGTTGTTGGTCGTTTTCTGATCAGCTCGGTGAAAGTTGATTTTTTTAAAGTCGTATTTTTAATTGCAATCTCGTATTGTTTATCAATAAAAGGTTTCCGATGGCTGCTCTAAAATGGACGTAGATCTCATTGATCCGAACCACTAAAAAGTAATAACCCTATGTTCATCTTCTGTTTATTAGATCAGGGCTTGCATTATTGTTCGTCGTTTGAATTCCACTCGTAAAATATCAACAGTTTCTAAATATTAACATGTTCACCAAACTTGTTCGATTGATTCACTCTAATCTGTCGAAAAGATAATTGAAATTATACATCCATAGAAGTACAAAACTCAGAAAAGAACACATGCACACACTGCGTCGATTATATATAATTAATTGTACAGTTTGTGAAGCTAAGACGACACACTAATAATAAATTAAAGTACGTATAACGGAAATCAACCGGAGAAGAGTCTGGTAAAGAAGTTGCCGGAAGAAGGTTTATCAAGGCAAGCAACATGTACATATCTCCCAAGCTTATCCACTTGTCTTGCCTCTCCTCTTGTATCTTTCTTGCACACTTTGCACGTTTTGTCCACCCATCCCTCTTCCACATATTCCCCATCCACTTTTACATATTTACAACAAAACCACACATATCATTATTAATTAATTACCCAAATAATTAATTATATATACATATATTAATACTAATAATTACCATCCACATATGATTTGAAGAAATCCTTGTATGTTCCTCCTATCTTCCTTCTTAAAGCTGCATACTGCAACAAATTTCACACATACAACAAAAAACAAAAATTAATTAATTAACTAATTAAATAATTTTAAGACAGAATAAAAAAAAAAAAAAAAACCTGTTCTTTAGACATCCTTTCGCCAGAACGAGTGGCTTCTCTGGCTTCATCGATGAGGTCAGCATCTTTTTCAGATCTAACCTGTGAGAAATCAAGAGCTTCTGTTACACTCTCAAAAATATTCTGTTTTCTCCTCTTCTTCTTCTTCGTTGCTTCTTCTTCTTCTTCTTCTTCTTTTCCGCCATTGTTGCTCTCTTTCTTCGCACACGTCACCACCATACCTATTTTTGACTTCTTTCTAATGCAAACATGATATCTGTAATTCGAACAGTAGTACTGTTTCTTCACAGCACTGCCAGCTGTCACTGGATGCAGAAAAACACCATTTTGTGAAGATGATAATGGAAGTGCCCTTATTCCCATTTTTCCTTTTTTTTTTTAATTCAATTTCTCTGTCTATATACATACACATATATATACATATATACATATCTGTATAAATATGAGGCTGCATTTTGTTTTGTATGTGTGTTTAAAAGAAGAAGACGTGGCCTTTTTTTTTTTTGCCTGGCTACTAAAAATTCAGAGGCTTTTTATTTTTTATTTATTTATATATATAGATATGTAAATCTTCGAAATTACAAATTGGGACACATATTTATAGACTTCTTACAATAACTACACAAAGGTTTTAAGAACACGTACAAAAGAACCCAAACATATAGAAATTAATATAAATAATCATTTCATCAAATTCTTGAGTTTCTCCACATCAACCTCCTTCACAGGCTTACTGATGAACATTACAGCTCCTGCTTCTATACACCTATATATTATATTTAACGAATTAATATATTAATTAATGAATAGTTATCGGTACGGTTTAAGTTGAAAAACGAGATATTAAAAAAATTGTGAAGCGATTACTTTTTAACGAGGGTAGGATCGTTATCGGATGCCATAACTGCAACGGGCACATCCTCCATAAGTGGTGATTCCTGCTCATTGTAACAAAGGCTTATGATTCTAATGTACGTAACGAGATTTACGAACTATATACTTAATTAACTTGAAATTATATTAATTACCTTAAGTTTCTTAAGTAGCTCGTATCCGTTCATTCTCGGCATTTCATAATCTATGCAAATCATTTTCATCTTTGGTGTCTGAAAACACAATTAATCCCATATTATATTTTCGTCGATGAGTAGACAACAAATATGTATTTGTAATCTTCGACAAGAAATTATTAAATCTAAATTGTTTCCATCCAAATTCGAGAAAAAATTTCATATTATAATCAAGATTTCTTCGAAAAAAAGAATGAAGAAATAACGACAATATTTAAATTTTGTTCGAGAAAAGTGACGTACGCATACATTGTATTCCCCTAAACTCTGATCATCATCTGCTAATCCCAGATACTCCAAAGCATTCACTCCACCATCTGAAGTAATCACTGAAATAAAATCATGAATTTATAATTGTTTTTAATTAATTAAAATTATTTTACAAATGCAGATTTTATTTAATCATCAACACAGTTTGATATCACATCCCAGTAAATAAAACATCAAATTTCCATCAGGTGAAATAAAAACATATTAAAACATAAAAAAAAAAAAAAAATTCAAATGACAGATTAATCAAAATATATACATACATATATGTGTACGTATTGTACCTCTGCATGCGCATTCAGTGAAGAGTAATTCGATAAGTTTACGAGTAATTTCACAATCGTCGACCAACAAAACATGGGGGTGTTCCACAAAAGCCCTAATTGGTTTACACGAATAAGGGCCACAATCCATTTTTTTTTTTTTTTTATCTCTGATAAATCATCAGAAAACTGAAAACCATGGAAATTAGAGGAAATTTAAAATTAAGGAAGACGACGGTTACGAGAAAAACATAATAATTAAATTACTCTGAGGCCGTTACTTTTTTGTAAGAAAGGGGAAAATAAATCAGATTTCCAGAGCGTGATCACTGATTTTCGTAATATTATTTTGGATCTCTTTTTTACACAATAAAATATAATAATCAATTAATAAAATCTTATAATCTCTTTTTACAAAATAAAATATAATTATAATCAATTAATAAATAGTTAACTGATTCGTTCATATCAAATTTTGAGCTTAAATGGTCTTGTTGGTTTTACGTCGGTCCATGAGATGTTACATCTGGTGTAACACATTTGATGATTGACTTTGAACCATAGATCAATATAAATAACAATTCACTAAAAAAAAATTCAATTTGTTAACGGCAAAACCAAAAGTATATTTTAATATATTAAAAAATGTAAAAATAAAAATTTCTAAACTAATTAATTCTTGAATTTGACATTCTAAAAACAAAAGATAGCTATCAATAGAGGCTAATCTGTAAACAATGAGAAAAACTATGAATCTAAAAGTATTTTATAATCCGTTATGACTTTAAAGAATTTAAAATAAATAAATAAAATATTTATTATCAATATTGTTGGTATTCGGTACGGTACGATATATATACCGAATATCAATATCGTATGTCGTACCGAATATCGGAATTCCAAAATATCTGTATAGAATACCGAATTAAATTTTCGATTCGATATTTGACACGTGCTAAATTTTTAGTTCAGTTCGATCAGTTTACCGACCAATTGAAAACCCCTAATTGCACTACAAGATTTTGAAAAAAATCCGACCTTTAAATGTAACCGACCAAAGGTTGTAACAATTAAGGACATACTACTAATTGAAATACACCTGGTGTTACTTATTACAAATTTGGTGTATTTTACCGGTATAGATAGACAATTAAGTCAACGGGACAACAGAAACTCTGACCACCGTAGCGCGTAGACAGCTAGCTCTATAAATGTAGATGACTTTCATGGCAAGTTTGTAGCCAATCCGGCCCCGATTTTGATGGCACTGTGATGCACCGTCGCGTATTGGATAATTTCCAGGATGGAGGTGGCGGTTTACCCACGTTTGTAAGCGGTAAAACAACCTATTCGGCCCCACTTTCCGCCAATCGTTTCCCCACGTGCTCCTAATCAGCGCGTGTTACCCAATTTCGGTCCTTATTAATAGTAAGATAAAGCCCAAACATTTAGGCTTGCCTACGAATGGTATGGGCTTTTCAGTATATTCATTTCGAATTGGAGTGATTGAATTAAAATTGGTGTTCTATTAAGCATTTAAGCTTCCAAAAATTAATTGCATAATTACAAAACATTATTTTACATTTTCATTATTCAAAAAAGAAAATATTAAAATAATGGAAAACTTGATAAAACTCCTCAAAAGTATTTTGCATAGCTAACAGTTCACTCAAATATTTAGAAATTGTTAAAAGTCCCTCGGGCAGCTTAGACTGAAAATAGACAGCTTAAACTATTAGTTGGAGATTTTAAACTAAAAATAGATTGAAAATGAACAACTTAATTGGAAAATTCGTACTGAAAATAGACGTTTTAGATTAAAAAAATATTCCAATGACGTGTGGCATTAATTAGCGATCGACGACATGGGACTAGTAGATAGAAACTCAATAGTGAAAGAAATACCATTTTTAGAGTAAATGCCGTCTTTTAAGACAGATGATTTACACGATAATAAACTATTTTCTATCTAATCTCTCTAACTAAGTTGTCTGTACACTTTTAATGGAATGCAAAAATATAAATTTCCCTGATTTGAAAAAGTATTAGTGTTCAAAGTCAAAAGTGTGTAGCACAAATTACCCTTTAAAACAAAGAACGAAATAAAATTTAGGGCAAAGTACAGTTTACACCCCTGAACTATAAGGGTTGTACCAGTTTGCCCCCCTGAACTACAAAACGTCCCAAATACCCCCCTCGAGTTTATGGTCAACCACTAAATTATTAACACTTTTAATTTAAATGTGCAATTACTTTTCTGCCCTTGGGGGTTTGTTGTAAGAAACTTAATAATTATATAATTAATACGTGTGTATTTGTCGATTTTGTTATGAATTTGTGACGAAGTAAATTTATGGATTTTTTGGATTCAATATGTTTGCTAATTGTCCTTTTGTTCAATTTTGTGCATTTTTTGTTTATGCCCTTAATTAAATGCATAACTTTTGGGGTGATTTTCGTGCATTATAAGATGTCTTGTACCACGAAGTACAAAAAATTTGTGTATTTGAGCTGTTACTCGACATTTTAATAAATTTTAGAAGAAAAAAACAGTGTCCTTTTAGTGGTTAATAATGAGAAGAAAAACGGAAATACGAGAAAATAAACCCGAAAATATGGAGCAAAAAAACTTGACAAAATAAAAAAAAAAATTAGTGAAAAAAATTTAATATATATAATTGAATAGAGGGGCAAAGTAGTCACAAAATATCCAAATGTTTAAAAAGTAGCTAGAAATCATAAAGTCAAAGTGCCACATCAGCATTTACAAACAAAATTTAAATATAGGGGGGTATTTGGGACGTTTTATAGTTCAAGGGGGCAAACTGGTACAACCCCTATAGTTCAGGGGTGTAAACTGTACTTTGCCCTAAAATTTATAGGCCCTAATATGCTTTTTTTCTTTAATTTTAATACAAACAACTAAATAATGCTACTACTTCAGTATGTACATGATTACCAAAATACACACTTTAATGGCCACGTCACTTTGCATTAGCATGTTTTAATTAATGCACGTAATCCCCATTTTAGCATGCATTGAACAAATGTTTATATGGTCTGTCAATTATTATTTCCACAAATCAAAATAATTAGACACAACAAGTTGCAGAAATTCAACGCGTCGGTTAGAAGCGCGTGGATTTTGCAAAATTTATGCATGCAATAATAATATTAGCCCCCTCCCCCTCTCTCTCTACACTTTCTCTCTCCTCCTTTTTCTCTTCACACATACGACTTTCTCTCCCCTCGCTGACCTTTTCTCACAATCAAATGCAATAAAACCAGATTTTTCTCTTCATAAAAACCCTTCTCTTTTCTTTTCACATAATTATTATTATTATTATATAAACACTCATTCCAAAAATCAAAGCTAAAAAAAATCCAATCCCATTTCATAATCATGGCCAACGCTACTAAACTAATTATCAAATCTTCCTTCACACTTCTCTTCTTCTCTCTCATCATTCTTGAAATAGCATCAGCTAGGCCATTGATTAATCCCGCGGCATCAACATTATCTTTTCCGGCGGAGGAGAACGGCGGAAAGTCGCCGGAGTTTGGAGGAAGTCACCGGAATCTGCTTGGATTAATAGCATATAATCGGCCTTCACTGATGGGCATGCTGCCCAGAGGGAGAACTCCGGTGTCGGGACCTAGCCGAAGAATCAACGACGTTAACAACTAGCCGCCCTGCACCCAACCAAACTACATATCAAATAATTAACGGTTCTTTATTTAAATTATTAATCCATGTTTGTCTTTTTTTCTTCCTCCATTTCTAAGTTTTGATATTTGTTTATTAAATTATTCCATTAGAACAAACAAAAAAGAAAATGTAATTATTTATTGCCTGGATTTTGTGATCCCATATAGAGTTTATAAATTGAGTTGATCATTCCGATTTGTATTATAATCACATCAATTCTTGACAAGAAGATGGAAAAAATTACCTTAAATTAATATGTGTAATTTTTGTAATCTCATAATTGATTAATTAACTAGTTCTAGTATTATGAACGATTTGTAAGAACAATTGCTTAAATATTTGTCATATTGGATTTGGTGAATAAATATAATTATATTTCAATTTAAGAAAAAGAAAAAGAAAAAGAAAAAAAGAAGAAGCATGCAGCAGAAGGATGGTGTCAAGTGTAGGCACCAAACATGGTGGCTGGTGTTATAACAAATATTAATTGTGGTGGCAACTTTTAGTTATGCAAAGGACACATAATATTTAAGGCTCAATTCTTCCCACCTCAATATTCATTCTTTTTTTTTTTTTGCTTTCTGCTTAGGACAAACATTATGGTCCGGAATATATGGATTTGCTTCTCAATAATTACTGCACCCAATTAATTACCTAATTCTTGAAACAATACACATACTATACGGTGTATTGTGTTTGACTTGGAGGAATTTAATTGGATTTTGGCCGGCAACTTTGACAATTTCACAAACATATTTCTTCTTCTCCATCCCTTTTTCTATTTTTATAAGTAAAAGAAAATTACTTTGAAATTAATTTAAGACTTAAGTGCACTAATATGGTTGGATATCAATTTTGTGCCGCAAGAGATGACTAAGGGGTTGGAATTAGTGACACTGTGTTACTTATGATTTAAGTTTGAATTTCCTTGCCAACAGTCGCTACTTTTATGAGTTTGTCACACATGATTAGTCTAGTGTGGTTTACATCTCTAGTATGCTTTGCAAGCTATTATAGATTTAAATACACTACTTTTATGAATTAAAGGGCCGCCCACACTATTTTACCAATTGCAGCAAAATGGGCCTAATTATCTTTACGAAATGCAACAAATGTACATTGGATCCGCTGAACTACTGAAGCCCAAAACTTAAAACATTTATTTTAATATTCGATTAGTTTAATAGATATATTTTTTTTTTTTGTATCAACATACAATTATGAAAATAATGAGCTCTTACGGGCATGTCTATAGCTCAACTGGTTCTGGTATGGTAAATTAGTGCAATGTCCTATAATCAAGATATTGACACCCGCAATGTGGAGATTTCAACACTAATCAGGCCCAGATCTGCTATCCTAACATGTCGTTGAGTCATCATAATTTACGTTTCTTAAGGGCCAAATCTGCTATCCTAACGTGTCGGGCCGGAGGCGAAAAATTTAGCCTTTCGGTGCAGCAAATAACGAACGAGCTCCGACAACCTGAAAAATTAAAATGCTGAGTAGATTTGGGCCGCCGGCCCACTTACCAGGAGTGGATTGGCCCTTTGCTCTGTGGAATAAAAGTTCGAAACCTGCCATTATTACAGCTAATTAATTATTCATTAAACAGATGTAATTAATTTATGTAAACAAAATATATATTATAAGTTGGGGTTGTTCTTTTTTTGGTTGTATTGTATGATTCGTATCAGTTCAACATGGTGGGGCCTTGAGCTTATTTCTATTATCTTTTAAATTTTGATTCCTTCTTATCTTTTCCAAAACAAAGTTTAAATAATACTATTTAATAATATAAATAATTAAATTAAGGACTTATTGTTATTGGTCGAAAGTTACTTGTTTCACTAGTAAACGAATGTGTTTAGAAAGTGAGTTTGCTTGTCCAAATTGGTTATTGACTCTTCAATATAATTATTTTTTGGCCTCATTATTCAACATACATGTACTAGAATTGTTGTTTCATTCTTATCTACAAATATTACACTATTTTTGTTTTGAATGTATTGATTTGTAGTAAGATTAGAACGTAATATAGTTCAACCTCTATGAATTCTGCATTATCAAAATTTTATTAATTTAACAAATTATAATTATCAAAATAATTATTTTTCACATTTTCATCGAACCGGAATCGAGAGAACTTATTATTTTATGAAATTACAGAGTATTAATTATTTAGTATCTAAAAAACAAAAAAGAGAAAAAGACCCTACAGGCTACAACCACCAGACAAAAAATGTCCTGTTCGGGCTTCCTAGAATATCTATACACTACAATTAGAAAACTAACAATTGTAATATTGAAAATAGAAATAAAACAAATTCCAGATCAGCAAATCTGGTGGTCTGATCCAAATGAACGAGGCAATATCCAATTTATCATTTATCATTTATCATTGGTAAATTACACTTACCACCCCTTAAGTTAAGTATAATTATAAATAGCACCCCTCCAATTGGGAAAATTACTTATATTTCTATTGAGGTTTGATAAAATTAAATTAATTGAACTTGTAGTGAGGTATCTATTTTACAATATGAGAGGCTAGGGGTGGAAATTGAGACGAAACTTCCGATTTCCATAGATTCCGATTCGAAATTTTTTTAATTATGGAACAAGTTTTTTGTTCTAATTTGCGAAATTCCGATTTTCGATTTTTTCCAATTTTTTTGGAATGCAATTGGAACTAGTTTTTCATTTCCAAAAAAATCAATTTTTTTTCTTCCGAAAAGGCTAATTCCGAACTCGTATACATAATTAATAGGTTTTCAAATTAGAAAGGTGTATAACTATAATTACACATAAATTAGGGGAGGTAAGTGTAATATACTGTTGATATTCTTTTTTTATTTTATTATTTTTATTTATTATTATTAACTTTAGTGCCAATAAATAATAAAGTAAGAATGTGGGGTCAAACAATCATGAACAGAGTAAACGAATGCTTTAGTATAAATTACTTGAAAGTGTCACTAAATATTTATTCCTTCATCGATTCAATCTTTCTTCTCCAATTTTCCCTCAATCCTTCTCTTCTCTTCTCTCTCTAGATAGATAACCACTTAGAGAGAGAGAAAAAAATGGCGAATATCACCATGGGATTGCTGAGAGCAATTATGTACATACATTTAATCTCAGTGGCAGTGATTGCAACTAGGGTTCTGCCTTTGCACCCTTACATGAACGGGCAAGAAAAACCCAATACCCATATTTTTGATACATCAAATTACGGAATTCTTCAGCTCGGCAATGGTTTGGCAAGAACTCCTCAGATGGGGTAACTAATTTTATTTTTTATTTTTTATTTTTTATTTTTTATTTTTTTATTTTTTAAATTGTTTTTGAGGGTTTCCCCCCTTTATTTATCCTGGAGAGGAAAAAAAAATCAGATTGTTTTGTTGGTGGAATGATTCTCTGTGAGCTGGAATTGGATGGGTGATTTGATGCAATATGCCTCCTTTCAGTTGTGGTTTAGATTTAATCGACATGCTTTTGATTTTTTATCATCAAAATCAGCTGGATTTCGTAATATCGGTTTTCGTTTCGTATATAGACATATATGCTACATCTTTCACTAATTATGGATTATTAATTTAAATTTATATGTTACAGATGGAATACCTGGAATTTTTTTGGCTGTGATATCAGTGAAAAAGTTATCAAGGAAACAGGTAGTGCTTTCCTGTCAATTTTAATATGCTATATTTGTTTGATAAATGAATTTTTCGAGGAGGCTATCAGTTTTCGTATTTCGTATTCAATGTGTTTTTTGAAGGCGAATGATACTTTGAAGTTTTCCAGTTATTAAACTAACCTTGTTTGTGATTTTACGACAGCTGATGCACTTGTTTCTACTGGCTTGTCCAAGTTAGGTTATACTTACGTAAATATAGGTAACCGCTTTTTACTTTGTAGCTGCACAATCTTCGTTTTTCGATACTCTTTATGTATATGTATATTGATAATTATGTTCTTATATTACGATATGCAGATGATTGCTGGTCTGAGGTATCACGTGATTCAGAGGTAAATAGACTGTTAATTATAATTTATAATACCTTTTTATTCTCGAGCATATTAATTAACATTTATTAAGTTGAAAAGATGAATGCGTTTCCAATTTTTCACTATTAATATTTCGTATTATGGTTATTTATACTGAAAATTGGGTGACGTGCAGGGTCAGCTAGTTCCCGATGCAGAAACTTTTCCGTCGGGAATTAAATCTCTTGCTGATTATGTGCACTCAAAGGGACTGAAGATAGGTATCTACTCAGATGCAGGGTAAGTAAAAATAAACACTAGATTTATACTTTATTTTGTTTAGAACTCTCGTTTCTATCATTTGCTCTGTTTTCTTGATTCCCATATTAAATTTTCTGCAGTGCTTTCACGTGCCAAGTTCGACCGGGCTCGCTTTTTCATGAATCCGATGACGCTAAACTCTGGGCTTCTTGGGTGAGTTTTTTTTTTTTTTTTTTTTTTTTTCATGTAGTGCCGAATATGTTTCGTGATTATTTTCATACTGTTGTTCGATTTTCTTTATTGAGAAAATGCTCTTTTTTTCGTTGTGTTAGGGGATTGATTACTTGAAGTATGACAATTGTTTCAATTTGGGCATTGATGCCAAAAAAAGGTTACGTGTCTAAAAATTTAATTTCGTTTACACGGACGAGTTATCTTGATCTAATTGCTAATATTCGATAATGTTTCAGGTATCCACCAATGCGAGATGCCATAAATGCAAGTGGGCATCAAATGTTCTACTCTCTTTGTGAATGGTATAATTACATAGCCTCGTTAACTTTCAAATCCCCTGTTTCTTTTTTTTTTTTTTTTTTAAATTTATAATATTGCACACTAAAAATGAACTTTGGATTTGTAAAAAAACTTTGCAGGGGTTCGAGTGATCCAGCATTATGGGCAGGCAATGTCGGAAACAGCTGGCGAACAACAGACGACATTAATGATACGTGGGCGAGGTTAGGACCCCCTTTTTTTTTTCCCAGAGCTCTTTCGTTTATTTATTTTTACCAAATTACATATTGAAATATTGTAAAAAGGGTTGTTGTACTAATGTGGCTTTTGTAACACCTTTTTTGTTTTTAGCATGACTGCAATTGCTGATATCAACGATAAGTGGGCATCCTATGCGGGGCCTGGTGGATGGAATGGTACAAATACAATCTTTCTTATATATATAGATAAACCTCTATAAATTAATACACTGGGGACTGACAAAATTCTATTAATTTAGTGAAATATTAAATCATCAAACTAATAATTTAGTACATTTTTACCAAGTCGGGACCAAATAAATTATTATTTAAGCGAGGTTATTAATTTATCGAGGTTATACTGTATATATATATATATATATATATATATATATATATATATATATATATATATATATATATATATATATATATATATATATATATATATATATATATATATATATATATATATATATATATATATATATATATATATATATATATATACATATATATACATACATATGCACACACACACACACACACACACACACACATATATATTCATATTTTCTTTTTTATACACACATAAAAACACATACTTTCACTCATTCTCTTACCCATTTAATTATTATGTGTAATAAATATAAAAAGCTCCATCATTATTAATTACTTATTAGTACAAATAATTTACTCCATAACGTATGTACGTACATACATATATTATAAAAAGTTGCATGCCTGTGATACTGCAGCACCTGCCTCTAATCAGTATATCTATATGACTGCGATCCATCATTCAGGTTAATAATACCCCAACCGAATATTTAAATAAAAATTAATTAATTAATAATGATAACCAAATGGTTTTAATTTATGAATTTATTTAATGATAAAAGAAAAGCAATCAAATAATAGATATAAATTCAACTAAATAATTAAATTTTAATTATTGATGTACTGTAAAAAAAGAAAAAAAGAAAGAAAAGAAAATCACGGGCGCACCACCTCCAAATAGGCAGTTGGCAGCTGCATCCATATATATGGTGTTGGTATTTCAAAATCTCTTTTGCCAGTCTCTGAATAATCACATGCAACCCTAATTCTGCACCACACCCCCCCGGCCCCTATCTGCTCCCACTCATCAAATTCAAATAGTACGTACACCATTAATTCATATATATATATATATATATATATATATATATATATATATATATATATATATATATATATATAAAAAAAAAAGAACGGTGGGCAACCCTAAAAAAACCCTAATGGTATTTTTTATAAATAAATGATGTTGTAGGAGTTCTCTCGACTAATTTTCCAACATTAATCAATCGCCTATGTCTCATCAATATAATCTTAATCTAGAGAGAAAAAGATAGCAAGTCGGATTTGTGACATCTAACGTCTGCGTGTGTGGGAAGTAACAGATTATATATCTATTATTCTAACAAAACACTAGATGTTATTATAAAAGA